TGTAGTAATGTAATGGTAGTGTAAAAGTTATTGGAATAGTAGCAAAGCAGTTATAATGTAGTTTCTATTCATATTTAACAATATAAAAATAATTTAATAACAATATAGTAACAATATAAAACAATTTAGTAGCAATTTAGTAGCAATTTAATAGCAATAAAATGCAGTATAGTAGTTAATACTACTGTAACTGCTCTATTACTATTATTTGATTATTAAGTAACTATTAAGTGACAATTAAGTAGTGATGTTTATAAAAATTGGACAGTTTCAGCAATGTATATAAAAAGACCAGAATATTTTGTTTTGTGTTTAACCAGCTGGGTCTTGCCTAGTATACTTTATTATTTTATTCACATATGTATTTCATGTATTACAGAAACTACTATCTATAAACAATTCTACGCATCGCTAGACTATATCAATTTTACTTCATATCAGCTTGTTACTATCAACGTCACCCCAGAGGAGTTGTACTGAGGTTAACGTGCCAAAGCCCTATTAGTGTTATTATTATATAGTGATGTTCTATTTGGCACTGTGAAATTTTTTAAGGGGAAGTTTGAATGTGGGGAACTGGAGGTAGTACCTATTTTTGACAAATAGAACCACTGCAGAGAAAATCCTTTTAAACCCGACCACCTGCAAATGGGCATACCATTTAATTTCCACCTTTCTAGAGCTACCCAAGAACGTTCAAGAAACTTATCTCACAGACTTATGGCCCATAGATTGTTTCAGCTATTGATACTTACTGCTGTTTTGGCTGCCTTCTCAGGATAGGTAACTGTCGAAGCAATTTATTATTGGATTGGAATAAGGCCTTTCTGGAAACTTGCAGGAAGAGACACCAGGTACCACGGGGAAGCGATCACCAAGCCATCTTTACTGGAAATGGATATCTCATACATCTTACAACTTCCGGCAATCATCGTAACACCAACTGGACAATCGTTATGCCACGACACCTTTTTTGGAAATTATAATCTCAATGTCCACTGGATTAGCGTGTGATATGGCTTCTTATGAGAAACAGTGCTTATACAGGTTATGGTGCCAGATATCATATTAATTCTATTCAATTTCCCTCACATGGGGTTAAACTGGTATCTTGTGATTTGATCTGTAGAGTGTTAACCACTACACTATAGACACACAGATCTAAAAGACCAGAATATATACAGTATATATACAGTATATATAAAGATAAGTTCCTAAATTAAAGCACAGCCAATGTTCTCAATATAAAATTCATCAATCAATTACTAAAATTCCAAAGCATTACCAAACTTACATAGTCCCAACTTGCTTTTCATACAGGTATAATTCACCTTGGTTCAGAACCCAATTGGTTCAAAACATTCTCAAATATGCAAAACCTATATGGATCCCATGGTCTAGTTCCAAACTCCAAATCAATATTCTGGTTTCTTCACAATACCAGTACAATAGTCCAAGTTTGCAAAAGATAACGACTAGTACATGAAAGAACAGTACTCAAAGAAAAACACTTCACAATTAATTATAACAATAATCTTATCAGATGTCCAGGCTGCCCAATTGGTTCAACCTTCCATGACTTTTGTTGACTAGAATTCACAAGCTCTTCTGCTTTAACACTATAGATATTATTCAATCTATTCAACAGTCCAAAATATCATCTACTCAATACAATCAAACCTTTTTATACCGATATGATTGATATTTTTAGCAAAAAATATCGGTATATAAAATTTTATTATAAATATCAGTATATAAAATCAATTTAATTAAAGGTGGTTTTTTTTTTTTTAGAATATCAGTATAAAGAAAATATATTGGTATAAAAAAATGACTTTAATTAAGAATGGTTTTGAGAAAAATATCGGTATAGTGAGATTTTAATAGGTATCAGTATAAAAAATATCGGTATAAAGAGGTTTGACTGTATTAAATTTAATATAAACCTGAGAATTGAGAATTGAATTGAATTGAATTGTTAGGATCCTTATATGTAACAGATTGAAGTAATTAACTTGTTATAATTTTATTATAATAATATAAACCTTTTAAACTTATAAGTTTATATTGAGATAATAGTTTCAAATATAAGCTGGTTATAATATTTTAAAATATTTGATTTTTTTATTTCTTATAATCATATTTAGAGGATTGAAAGAATTCGAAAAGTTTTAAATAGTTAATGTTATGTAATAATAATTTTATGAATCTATTTTCTTGTAATAAAATAATTAACAAATAATTAGATTATTTTTAACAAGTTTTTTTATACATTAATCTTAAGTACTTGTGATCTTTGATCATGATAAATTTTTTGTTGTACCATTTTTTTTTTTTACATTTGGTAATAAATATACATCATATTGTGCTATTTTATCCCATTCATTGTTTTCATGTAACCATGAATTTTTCCTTTCTTGACTTTGATCAACCCGGGTGACATGTTACATTAATGTGCGTGTTGGCTAATTTTGTAGCATTTGAAAGGGAAATGTCACGTTTAAATTTACAAGTCATTTTTGTATACCAACCGGACAATACTTTCCGTGATGACTGTACTTTCTACTACATTTATTATACATTTTTTGTAAAAACAAATATTTTAATTAAATTAAAAAAAGTAATAAATAAAATTTAAAAAATAACAGTCGTACCGATGATAAGAAGTTCGTTGGATCTTATCAAGCATTCCATTAAAAAATAGGAAGATGTTTTGCATTAGCCGACTTTGTGCATTTACGTTAATGTTAAAATTTTTAATTCATACATAAAACTTTGATTTTACAACATACCAAATAATGTTACAAATTTATTAAAAAGTATATATTTCGTTTATTTCGAGAGCACCTTTGGGGGATTTCCATTTTGATATACTGTAAATGAAAGTTTGGATCAGGAGTAGAAATCAATGGTTATACGTATTCCGTCACTATCAGAGGAATTAAGGAACAATCCACTGTGTCCAATTGATTGTTTATCTCGCGACATGCGAGCATTTGACCATGTGTATATGGAGTGTGTTGCTGGTATATTATTGATTTAATGTTCATTCCACGATTTTTAATGAAATCACCTTATTTGTTTTCGGTGTATCAGGGCAACATTTATAAATTGAACGTTCATTTAATAATAAATTTTAGGTCATTCTCTTTTTGCTTATTGTTGGTTATCCTACGTTCCCAGTAGTTGAAAAACTTTTATTCATTCCGAAAATTTATGATGACGGACTTGGTACCAAATTTATCCTTAAGACGAAATTCTACAGAAAAAACATACCAAGTAATATTAAATCGTGCAGACCCTTACCAAAAAACCACGATAAGGCATTTGAAATTCTCTAATAATGGTCCCATTCGTGCTGTTATTGATGGCACGGATTTTAAAGTCATCGCCACTGGGGAAGGCAATTTAAATTTAGCACAATTCCCAAACTTAGCAAAGATTACTTTCCAGGATGGAATCAATGTCGATAACCTGGACAGTATTGACATTAGCGGAAACGAAAAGTTAGGCAGAATGATTATAGGGTCTAGCGGTAAAAAAAATCCTTTTAGGAGCTCCCGTTGTGTCTTGCTTGTCAAAGAAAACCAAGTCGATCAAATAATTGTCAGCTACTATGAACAAAAGAATAGCATAGAAAAAAAGTTGAGAAAGCAAGATGCAATACCCTACCGCATAGTTGAAAGTCAGCAATCGGGGGGTGAAATGGAAAGACTAAGACAAATTATTGCTGAAAAAGATAAACAAATTGAAAGGTTACAAACAGAAGGTGCACAGAGACTAAGTCTCTCACAGTTTCAGGAATTAACTGATTTAGTACTGCCAGGCAGTGAGTTTGATCACGCCAAGTTCAAACAGGAGATCATAAGGCTTAAATTAGAAGATCTCGTTCCCTATCTTCAAGGGCAAAAAGAAAGGTTTGATGGTTTAGTCATAGATCTTAAGAGAAGAGTGGGCGATAGTTTGAAACCAATCGTGGACCTTCTCATGAAAACCCGAAAAGATATATTCGAGCAAACCAATATAAATAATAATGAATTTGCCCAAGGAAAACTGCAAGGAGAATTAGCCATTTGTCAGACTCTCTTGCAAACCAGCCTTGCGCAAGAGGAACTGCAGTCTCTTCTAACTGCGCAAGACGAAATGTTGAAAATAGAAATGCAAATAGCTAACTTGCAGCGTAATCAGAGACCCAGTGCTTGATTCGACAACCTGAAATGTCTTGGCGACAACTCGGACGTGAACCTGTAGGGAAATTATTAATTGTATATTTCCATTCGATGTGATCTCACGGATATGTAAATTACTTTTAATTGACAATTATTTGATATAATTATCAATCACTGTACAGTATTCTCAAAATTCTAAATTATCGGAAATTAATTACACAACCATCTCTAGGTTAAAGTAGAATGTCTAATCATTAAATTTAATTACAGTAACTATTAACTATGCTTATTATAAATACTGTATAAGCCTATCGCTGATCATGTGAAAAAAAAAACTCTATATGCAGCTTTCATAAAAAATCATTAAACCAAAATCTTGTCAGAAATATTTGCTTCAACTGTAGTGAAGTATGGGATTAATATTTTTGATAAATAATTTGATGTTTTACTTTAACACGATTAGACGTACATGTGAGAATGTACAGTTATAATTTCATAAACAAACAATTGGTTATACAATTATATTTTGAATTTTAACCCGAGAAAAATAGATCAATTATTGATATTAGAAGCTTTACTGATAAGTAATATTATAGTTTTTTGCTTTTTTTTCTAATGAAATTATTACGTTTTTCGAGCATAAATTTGTCGTTCTTTATACTGTAATTTCCATTTTTATTTCTATGGCAATGTTGACTTTCTTTAATTAGAATTATTTGACACATCTTATGTCAAAAGTGAATTCATTTTTCATCCATAACGGAACAAAAAATTACAGGATATAAGGAATTTTGTGTGTTGATTCTTTTTCGTCTTCGACCTGACGCATCTTTTCGTTCTTTCGTTTCAGTACTAGTCTCATAATTATGGCGCATATTGTGGCTATCAACATAAAAGATGCATTGATCATGTGACCTCTGACTATATAATGAAACAAAATAAAATTCGTTATATCGGAGTCAGATGACAAGGGAATAAACGGTACATACAATAACGGGGTTCTTCACTAGACGGATAAATATTCGAGGAAATAATACCTACAAGAGATCATTAGAAATGACACCGTCAGCGAAACACATACAAACAAGGAAAAAAAAGAAAAGTAACATTGATTATTGTGTGAGACGAATAATAATACCAGCCACAATTCCGGCAGAGAGAATGAGGGCTATGGCGATTGCACGTTTTTCACGAGGATGATGAAAAATATTTGGTATCCATGCAAGTGTCATCGCACCAGCTGCCCATGTACCTGGATTTATAAAAGTTTAATGCAGAATCGACTCGACTCGATGAAAGATATACAATAAATAAATATATCCCAACCTGACGTGCAAAAAAACGTAGCTGAATATAACATTCCCACACTTTTCAAATTTGCCAACATAAGAAAACCGATTGCACCTATAATCGCACAGCAAATAATATGATGTCCTCTTAGTTGCACGTGATCAGAATGCAAAGAGACCACTAACGAAAAAAGCCACCCAAAGAAATAGGGTGGCAAAGTCAGTAGTTGAGTCTTCAAAGAACTAAATCCCATTTTATAGATGAGGGTTGGTAAATATAATGATATCGAATTTAGTGCGGTATTGATACAAATGTTATGTAACACCATCAGATATACTCTCCAGTCTTTGAGAGTTATGAGTAATGCATGTTTTATGGTGACTGTGCGTATGTGTTCACCAGCTGTTCCATGCTCTGGGTGAAGACGAGACATTAGAAGCTGTCTCTCTCTGATCGTTAGAAAATTTTCATCCTCAGGAAAGCCTGGAATGATTAAACTGGTATACGAAAACAATGAATTTTGTAAGTTCAAATCAGCTTATTTTTCTCCTAATAACCATTTGTCCGACAATGACAATAACCTACAAAGAAATGAGAGAAACGATAAAACTAACGATTCCCTCTAATAAAAATAACCATCTCCATCCTTGAAGGTTTGCCTTTCCATTCAAGTTTCCGATGATCACATATGCCAATAATCCGCTGTTTTTAGCATTATTAAAAAAGATTATTGTTAGGTAGGATTGATTCAATTCAAATATGAGTCATAATACTGTACGAACCCGAAAGCCCCGGCCAAAACATTACCAGAAATAAAGATAGTAAATCGCATTCCATACTCTGATCGTTTATACCATAGGCTCAAAAGAAGCAATATACCGGGGACGAAGCCTAAACAGAAATCACAATATAGTAACGTTTGATAAATATTCATGTCCCTTTGCTCTGTCTCACCAGCTTCGGCAACACCTAATAAAAATCTGGTGGCTATTAATTCATCGGAATTCCTTACTGCAGCCATCGACGAAACTATTATGGACCAAGACATCATTAAAAACGGGATCCATCTTGACGGTTTGATTTTTTTCAATACCTATTTTACGTAATAACAATAATAATAATAAATCAACATGCAATAAAAAAAAAAACTCAACAATAGGTCGGGTAATGTAGGTTTATACCATATTCGATGGAATTTCAAACAGGACACCGCCAAGGAAATATATTGATAAAGCAATTTGATATTGGTTTCCTATTAGACCTGTGATTGAGAAATTAAAAACTCAGTTCTTTTCGATTCGTTTTAGTATACATCAACAGTTACCAAGATCTTTCTCTAATCCTGCTATCCTCGCATTCCCTGGAATACAAAAAAGACCTCATATTCGATCAATATATTCAAAGAATCGTGCATATGATATTAAAATCGTCATTCACCAATATTGATTCTGTCCAAACACGCCAAAATATACATGATATTTGTTATGGCGAGTAGCCTCAGATCAATCTTTCTCAAAAGTTTTCTTTCAAATTTCTTGTCTTCCGAGTCGATGTGAAGTGAAGTATCATTTGTTTCGTCAACAATAGATATTGAATCTGTCATTTCGCCCGTACACCAAATTATTAGAAACTGGATAGAAGCAGAAATAATGAATCTTACATAGTGAATTTTATGATTATAAGGCTTTATACGTCATATCACATCGTTTGTCGTCAACATTACATACGACCAAGGACGTTTAAAATGTATTCTAAATAGCATGTCTTTAGTATAATTAATAGAATTAAGCTAAATTGAGTTTCAATAACTTGACAATGTTAAAGCCACCTGCGTATACAGAATTAATAAACTTTAGAGAATTTATTCAATCTCGATTGTTTAATCGCGTTTCCAAAGATTTAAGTTTCATCTTCAACACGTAACCCTGGTTAACAAACTTAATCTCCCTTTAGGAAATAAGTCAATGATTATACATAGTATATATTCTCAACATTTTTTTATAAATAAGATCTTGGTTATTTAATAATACTAATATATACTGTATATTCAAAAAAAAAAAGAATTTGTTTTCGTCTATATAAGCGGTTTAGTGATAAAAAAAGCGGGTGTTTACTGGATCATCATTTAATCTCGTATTTAAACATTACTGTACAGTATGTCTATTAAAAATCTTATTCCCTGTATAATTTGTAAATTATTTAAATATCAGGATGACGATAATGGTTATCACTATTAATTTTTCGAATAACATTATATTGACAACATATACGATATATTTTTGAAATGGGATATCCAAGCTTCTCTATGGTCACGATTGTCTTGACCGGCATGTCCTAGAAATGGTGTCTTTTCATTTTTTAAAAGGTGTTACGATAATTAATTACTATGTTTGATCACGTGAATAAATAAACCTAAGCTTACATAGTCAGGGTCTTGTCACCTATCCAATAGATTCAATTACACATGTATAGTATCTTAATAACTGATCGTTGTCATCAGACAGGTAACATCTACCTTTATTTTTTTTTCAAAGTTTAGATTCAAAAAAAAAAAAAATTTTTTTTAAAGTTTACGAAAAGCAAAAACTTTAAGCGCCCAACGTGGGGGTCGAACCCACAACCTTGAGATTAAGAGTCTCACGCTCTACCGATTGAGCTAGCCGGGCTTCTCATTGTAAGAGGGTGGAAAACACTAAACCTGTTTTTTTCCAAAGGTTAAGAAGAAGTGGCTGTGACGGTCGACGAACGATATTACCGACACAACATTCTTAGAACGGTAGGCATGGCTCATTCGTGACTTGAAAAAATCTTCTCTGAAGTCATTTGGTAAAAACTACATTCGCATGTGCGTACGTGACTGTGCGGTGTGTATGGGAATTCGTACTTGACATTTTTCTACACTTTCAAAATCGCTTTTCTAATTTTTTAATTTTTTCGAATTCGGGATTTTTTTTTTCAATGATTTTACTTTCTACAATAATAATATCAGAAGGACAAATAGAATGTAAAAAGTTCTAGTATCAAAGCATCGAGCTTCTGATAGAAAAAAAAAATGGTTCATTTTGTTGTTTTTTGGAACGTAATGTACAATCATGCGTAACAATGTTTATGAATCATATGATGCCAGGCAGCAGTGATTTATAATTCGTCATTCTGCTGCGCAGTCTTCCCGCACATTGATCATCAAGTTTTTCCTCGTTTATTGGCAGTCACCATGGAACAAAATTATTTGTTTATGTTTGTGCACTCTACAACATAACGTTTTGTTCCATTGACTATCATATGGGTAAGTGGCATGCAGATGACAACATTCTGTGGATGAGAGAATGAAAGAACTTTTTTGTGAATTGGTAACGTCAAAAAAATTATGGAATGAATAAGCAAAAATAGCGGTAATCTGAAAAATCTTCAACCGTTAAAATTGTTCATTCAAAACTTTATTGACATTGATGTTTGTACTCTAATTTAGTAATGAAGATGTGCAGATCTCGATCTGAGATAACTCCGGTCATTTCATCTTTATCAAGATTTCTTTTACTTTGCATTTACAGTATAATCTAATTATCGCAGAAAGACCAAAGGGCTTTCAGATATCCTTATATGGTTCTGCGATCGGGGGCCACAAGGTTATCATCGTCATGAGAAAAAAGCTAAAGTGAAATGGCGCACATTCTATAAATTTTAAATAAATATACCTTGTTTGAAACGGGACCTCGCTGATACTGTATATTATTAGTAAAGAAGGCGTTTTTAATGTCTCAGATGGTGAATGGACAAACCCAGCTTCTGAGGAGAAAGTATGACTGACGGTTAATTGAATTCGAAAAGTTTATGAAGATTGACGCATACAATTACCAAGTTTTAATCAATGTGCAACAATTCTTTATCAACTTCTTTTCTTTTCTTAATTTGTGCTGAATTAAGCAGCCTTATTTTAATATGTCGTGACGTTCGTCTTGTGGTGTTCCTACATGAACAAAGATTGTTAAGTGAAGGGGTTCGTAATTCGGAACAATATAAATTATAATTATAATTATATATATGAGGGTTCAAGTTTGACATTCGGGACATATATGGAAATTAGCCACAGATCACACACGATGGCTGGATTGTTATAGGGTGAGTGGTACCAAAATGTACCCTTGCGATTGATGTGGCCGATTACAGTACAGTGATTATACAAGGTTCAAATAATATTATTGGTCGGGTAATTCCTTTTTGCATATACCCTTGAAAAACGCGTATATCGCAGGAATTCGACCTCCGTCTTATCTGGCGAATGATGATAATCGATAATTACAAACATTGAGAACGACGACAAGGTAATTTAATTCCTTTTTGGACCAAAATGTTTTTTTTTTCACAATAAACCTCAAAAAAGAACGTAAAGAAATAAAAAAAAAAGAAAAAAAAAAAAGGATATTTAGAATGATTCGGATCTGTTCCTTGACGTGACATTCTTTCATCCGCATTTGTTCATTTGTTACATACGTCAATATAAAGAATAAACCTTCAAAACAAGTTTATTTCCATAAATCAATTGAACAAACAATTGAATTGTTGACTTTTTATAGATGTGTTTGTGAATAAAGTGTTAATTACGTATTTGTAATTGCATCCTTGTCAGCTTAATAGCGCTACATTGGTTTGTAACAATTGACTAAAATCTGATAGGTCAATAAAACTCCGGTGAATTATGAAAAAACAATAAAAAAAACATTCTCGAGACAAGTTCGAAATCGTGAAATCTTTAGTTTATTCCTCTTTTCCTTCATCCACTCCTTCCTCCCTCTATCCTCTTCCGATAACAATGCCTCGTTCTAAAAAACAGAAGAACGCTCCCTCGTCGCGTTCTCATCGCCGTAAAATTAACGCGGCGAAACAGTCTGAAACTATCTTTGATATGAAAATGAAGTTGAAACAAGCAATCAAAAGGCATCTCCGTGCGATGACCGATCAAGGTATCACCTTCAATACCTACCTTCCCCTAGAGGAGCTTATGTCTCCGTCGAAAAAAACGCTAAAAAATTTGCAAGGTCGAACCGGAGGAATGAAGCGTGCCCAGAACGGCTTTATTCTTTTCAGAAAGGACAACCAATTTCGGGTACAGGCCGAGCATCCCGACGTTTCGCAGCCCGAGATCTCCAAAATTTTAAAAGGGCGATGGGCAACGGCCTCGCCTGAAACAAAAAATATCTACATGATATTGTCAAGCATAGATTTTCAGGCTCATAAAGAATTATTCGGCGAAAATGTCAACGCCGAAAATCCCGAGTGCGAATCTGCGTCCGACAAAGAGTCGACCGAAGATGCTGATACCGCACCCTGGAAAAAGTTTGTCACCATGCCTCAGATGGTGTTACTGCCTACTTCCGATAATCCCAATTCGGAGAATTCGCGTTATTTACAAAGCATCTTTAGTCAACATACAACACAGTTTCACGATGAAAATAATGGTCAAGAAACGACCAGTATTTCGCAATGCCATCCCAACAATTTTTACAATGAAATAGCCAATCAAGAGACCACCACCATCTCCCAGACGCCCTCTGGCATTTTTGATCTTGACCAACAGTATAATTATCTTGCCCAAAGCATTCATTACGTTACACCAATTTATGACCCGGCGATGGAAAGTAGCGACCAGTTCTATATGCCCTCGATGGTCACCCAAGCGATCCCATCCGATACACCTGTTCAAGGTGACTTGAACACTCCGTATACACAATATCTATACTCGGAAATTCCATTGATCGAGAGTGACTATGTTCACTGGCCACAATAAATTATCTACACCGTTTCGAACTCGAGTTTATTTTTTATTTTGTATTCATATGAACGCAAAGGCATTGCATATAGATAGATTGTAAGAGATTGTACGAACCAACATTGCTAAAAGTAAAAGATATGGTATGGATCACACTTTTGCAGCACCGACTTTTCGATGTGCTTTTTTTTTTTTTATGATATGATATCTATGATTATGTTATCTAAGTTATTATGCTTCTTTGTAAGTTTTTTTTCTTGTGAGTTACAAATTTTGTTTTTATTTTTTCCTCGTTGTTCAATAATAAATCGATCTCCGAACGTGTACGCACTATCTTCATCGAATTACGTCACACGCGGTATCGTCAAGATAAAGTTGTTGTCAATGTGAACGTGTGTGATTGTGCGGGGGGGGCACCAGAGCCTCGATTAGATTAATTGAGGTCCGAATGATACTCGATATGAACATCGCATGCGAAACTGGTGCGATTTCTCACATTTTACGTCATTTACAAATACGTCATGAGACCTGCAGAAGGTTGATCTACCCTTTTGAATGATCATACTGTACATAAGGAAAAAACTTGACATCCAAAGGATTTATGTGTTTAGGCGAGTCCCGCAAGACGCTTCATCTGTATTAGGTTCTTTTTAAACCGATGCTATTTTTGGTAAAATCGGATGCTCGACTTTTTGGTGCACTAGAAAAAGTCATACGGGTATTTTCTGATGTTCGATGTTAAGAAGCCCAAGTACAGTCTGTACATAACGCTTATAATCTTGCCATGTGATCAAGGGAGAATGAAACGGGTTAGAGTGACTTGCATCACATTGCGATATTTCTCTTTCAAGACCTTTTTGGATATGCAAGGTCGGTTACACTATAACAAAAATGGAATCCATCCGATGGCTCATTTTCTGACCAACGAAAGAATGATGATATACTGTAGTCCTCCATCCCTTTGTTTTGTTTTTTTTTCACTGTCACCACCGCCGCCGGAGTTCAAGGAATGATGCATACATGTCGTATGTATGTTAGCAAATATTCACTTTTTCCGCACCCTTGGCTCCTTTATTTGGTATGTTTCATGGAATTACCCAGAACCGTCAACAAACCTTATTTGGTCATGCAAAAATTTCGGTTTTATTTGTTGATTTGATGAGAAATTCCGAATTTGACAGACATGTGTAATTGTTGAGTGCCGTTTATGGAAAGTCAACAAGTAATACACAATACATTCCGTAACAGGGTTCTATTAAAATCTTAATACTGGATCACTGTCATCAGCCACGAAGCGAAATGGCAACTAGAAAATCCTTCTCATGCAAATTCAGTTGGGCAATCGTCAAAATGCATTGCATCCACTTTCTCGCACAGCTGCCGGAATAAAATTACCAATGACCCCACTGCGCAGCGATCGACCGATTAGGATTATTTTTGGCCAATCGAAAAGTTTTGCATACCGGTGCTCGTGTGACAAATTATCCGGTGATCAAATCATTTTCAACGCGTTTTTGGGCACAATGGGGGAGCCGACCATAGGTTCTTCTTTCATGAGTGCATTTACAATAAGAGGGGCGCAAAAAAACCTTTTTTATTCGGGATTAGCGCAAAGGGAACTCCGAGTCAACTCATCAAAGCCATCATTTTCCACAGGTACTGTACGCGGATGTATGCGCCAAGATGTATTCACGTGACCCGGAACCCGAAAATGTATTTCTACGTGCCACGCTTCGTTGTGAGGTGGGAAGTCTGTGTTTTGTACATGTGAACGGGTTGGCACCTGGAAATCAGAAGTCGAGACCACAACAGGTTTTGAACCCCAAAAAGCACCGAGCCCACTTGAACGTCCGATAAAGATAAATTAAAAGGAGTTAATTGTTTACAGAACGAGAGTTCGACCAAAGAAAATGCTAATGAACCTAAAGTACCACCAGGAATGATCAGGTCACAATAAACAAATAAATATAATAGACCTAGACTAAATCCGGATTGAAAGGTGTACTGTATAGCAAATTTCCTAAGCTATTGTGCTCACCCCCAAATTCTTTTTTTTCTGAATTTTCCTGCGACATCTGACAAATCCTTGAAAGGAAACCTGACGAAGTAAGAGGTGACCAAATTGGCGCGAACGTCCGGTAAGAACTAGACCTTAAACGGAATCGCATGGAACCCGACAGACGCGAACTCGAAGCCCTTGAAGTTCGGGGGTTTAATGAGGCAACTGATAGTCCCTAAGAGTCGATTTGCACAAAAAAAAAATTTTTTTTTTATACGTTCCAACAAATTAAACTATATATGTACGTGCAGGAGAATGGATCATGCTTCCTCCTGTCACGAGAACCTCTTATGGTAGACAATAGAACAGCATCGTGCATTCTTCCCGCTATCATAAAGTATTATTTGTAATGAAATAAATAAAAATGTATTAGCACGTCTTGTCGATTCCAGAATGTTGTTCTAACGCATATATAATTTATTTATTTTATTTTATTTTATTTTATTTTATTTATTTATTTATTTATCTATTTACCTGCTGTTTACTTTCATCTATACCATAATTCTCATCAGGAACCATGGATGTAATCTACGTTCATGCATACAAAGGGGTCCGTAAAAATTCGAAGATTCCGTGGTTTACTCAGAATGCAGTTTATTCCAGATTCTTTAACATTTTCGGCATGAAGTAAGACCTGCTTCGGGAGAACCATATTCCAGAGACGTGTTTGAATCTGGTGTGATCCTTCTTTTTTTTTTTTTTTACACATGATGCGCGTGAGCTCATGAGCAGGTGCGACAAATTCCTCAAATACCCACAATAAGTCAGCCAGCTAGCCATATCAAATAAAAAAATTATTATATTATTATTATTGTATTATTATTATTATTATTTGTCAGACGCATTTAACCATCACCAATGGTCAAGATCGATAACGGAATGTGCCCGCCCAGGTTTACCCGATTATGCTATTTTTGGTTGGGCACAACCACCCTTTAATGACCATCTTGCCGAGAATATTACCAAGGTTTTTTTTCGATTGCTAAACTTGAACATCCAAAAAGTGACAATGATTTGCGCAAATATATTCGCAGGACGCGGCGAAAGTTTCTGGTGATTGGTGCACGAATGATAAAATCAATTTTAGATGATAACTGTTTTTGTCCCTCAAGGATTCGTGTTTCATTCTCACCATTCCATCTTACACATGCTTGCGAACACCGGTTCCCCCATTTGGCGGTTCCAATAAAGCGTTGGTCGAATCAATTGCTTTTTAATTGAAAGCCGAATTCAAGCATTCAATGAAATAACTATGGAAACAAATGACCGCGTGAATAATTGTGACATTCTTTTCTACGTAAGCGGAGGGAATTTCCGTTTGTGTGTGTATGTTTTTTTTCTTTAAACCATTTTATACAGTCTATTTTTATCCAAAGGTTTTTTTTTTTATACAGTATATGCGCCCTCATAAACATTATTTATTCTTAATAATAATAATAAGCAATCTACTATATTTTATTGACTGGTGATACACAGTAAATGCGACGATCAGCACGATAGGTACAGTAAATTAAGTTTTACAGTACAGTAGATTGCAAAATTGCAGGGTCACAAGGACAACAGACGGTTTATATGAAATTTGGGAAATCATTCATTGTCCGATCCTTTCGAACATTTGTCCCTTTGGCCGAGTGACATGCATTAAAAAAAATAAAAAAAAAAAGAGTCTGACAGTTCACAATAACTTTAATTGAATTTAAGCTTACATCAATTATTTGGGGTTCATCAAAATGTTAATTAAACCTTCTACATGCTCTGAATGGTTTCCATAGTGCTGCTCCCCTTTTATTTATGTTTTCAATTAACGCAATTAATTTATCGATTGAATGTCCATTGCAACAAGGTCCATTGACTTCTAATGCCTTTAATATTGAACATATTCTCGATTCAAAATTGTGTAACAATCTAAAATACAGGTCATCTCCAATCCTCATCCAAGATTCGAATGGATGATTGGTTCGTCAGCGAACAACGAAAAATTCACTCTTCCTGAGGGCAATTTCTCCCGGAATGAGCAATGCCCATTAGTCATTCCATTAATATTGTCGCAATTGAATTTCCAATTGAAAAGTATTATTCATGGGTACATCGGAGAGTCGAAATTGTTGGAAGGCGTGTGCTATATTAGCTGCTCTTTATGTCAACAATGGATGGGGCTTATTCATCATTTGTATTCTAAAATAGTATCACAAATCCCTCGGCTCCGATAAACTTTCCAGAAGTCACTCACACCCGAGAGTACTAGTATACTAGTACTTTAAGCAAATAGGAAATATGTGTGTGCACCGTATATGCACGATACCAAAAAAAAAAAAATGTGGTCAAACAATTTTCCGCTTCACTCTTTTCATGAATATACATATTTGTATATATATGCATGCCGAGATTATGAATTTTACATCTTTTAAATCATCAAGATCATACTTGGTACACACCGAAATCTTTCACAAATAAACACTTTATCCAAAACGAATCTTATCCGTCTATTAAATTCCATCAAATTTTGGCTATTTAAAAAGCGGGTGAACTTTGATTGTTTTTGACCGCCTTTCGATTTCACTTGGTATTCGGTAATATAACAGAGTTATTCATCGGGTCACGTTTGTTTGTGTTATGTGTATTTTCTTGAGAATTTTGGAGAGAAAGTTTACATATCTGTCTATATTTTGAACAAAAAAACAGCTTCTTCACACTCCCTTCTCTTCCGCTCGTTTACCATTCCGAATACTCGGCAAATTTCTAATTTCAGCAAGTTCGTTGATTTTAATTTTCGATGGAACATCGCCCATCCTCATCGCTCTACGACGATCACGTTCGTCCAGGGAGTTTACAGGGCTCATCATCGTCGCCCTCCGGGTCGCAGGCACACCGAAAACAAAAGGCCGAAAGTGAAACCCCGGACCAGGCACTCCAATATGCCACAAAAGAAAAAATATTGTCATCTTTGTTTCCTCCGTCGAACGAGTGAGAATTCGTCTTTCCAAGCGAATCGTCGTTCTCACGGCAGTTTCGAGTTACAGTATGTTTGTCTAAATGTTGGAATTGTGTGCTAACGGCTTGTCTTTTTTGTTCTTACAGTGCTTCCAAATGGAAATACGATCTTGTGGTTGCTCAACAACCTGTTCGGGCGCGTATGTGTGGATTCGGTGAAAAGGTAATGGTGAAATCGAAAGCCCGGTAACCTCCTCGGTGTGTTTATTGTTATTCACGTATGAAATTTTATAGGATCGCAGGTCCATATCGCCCCTACCATTTGTCAGGCTAGACATCACGGAGGGTGGCCTTCCCGTCAACACTGAGTTGGTCAATCAGAGTTTGATTTGTCCCTGTTTCCTTTCAACGAGAACAGTTGTTTTTAACAATAATATTCTTGGAATGCACAAATCATTAGTGAACTGGATCCTGGGTTTTTCGTCCTTAGCGCGACACTGTACGAATACAAGACGAACCAAGATGCGTCATTGGTGATTCATCCGACTTCCAACACCAGTTTCCCCCGTCAATCATGCACCAAGAATCTCGTGGGTAATAGTTACGCCCATGGAAAAAGACTCAAAGATCTCGATGGACGTTGGGGAATCTGGTTCGTCTATCAGGATCTAAGCGTCCGAACGGATGGAAATTTTTATTTGAAATTCGCCCTAACCTATGTCGGATGGTGAGGAATCTTATTTCAATCCTAAATTGGATGTGCTATTCATGTACCGTTATCCAATTGATTTTGATCGAACATGCTAAATTCGGAAATTCGATTTTTCCGAAATCATTACACTCTCAATACGGTTAATAAATAAGTCCAGTAGTTTGGAATTAGGTTCACGCGCATTAATGTGTTTCATTCGCTTTTTTTTTTTTAAAAAAAAAAAAAATATATATATATACATATCATATATAATATTATTAGCATGGGCCAGACAAACACCAACAAGATAATCCCAATGACAATATTGTCGACCGTCGATTCTAGTACATTCGAAGTTTTCTCTGCAAAAAAATTCCCCGGGATGATCGGTGAGAATTTATCTCTTTCATCAGTTTCTTGCTATTCAACTTTGCGTTCGCTCACATGGATGTCATATTTTTTGACAGACACCACCCCCCTGTCCCGTTGTTTTGGCGAACAGGGGATTAAGATTCCCACGAGAAGCGATAAAAAAGTTAAGCGCACCTCAATCGAGTATAATCCGTACCAAAGAAATTATTAAATTCGATTTTTAAATTTCCTTAGTAAAAAAAAAAAGGAAAAGAAAAAACTAGCACTTATTTACGGATATCTATGTTTATACTTCATTATGACAAATAAGTTTATAAGTGGTTTCGAAATTATGTTTATAATAAGTGTCAGTCAATTGTATTCACCACGAGATTCGCATTTCATAATTACGAGGAATTTCGACGATTTGCTTTATCCCGGAATTTACCTTTCTATCGTATGAAGTTAGTCATTTATTCATCGAATTCTATCTCCATTTTTTTTTTCTATCTGCGTACTTCTATGATTCGTCAATAATAAATTTTTTTATCATATGGATTTTTTGTTATAAATTGTCATTTCCCCGATGTTGGAAGAGGGCTATCGAGCATTATTGTTGAGTTACGTAATTTAATCCTATCTAATTGAAGATCTTAATAATTTTGCTGCTAATTTAGTCTGTTCAAAAGTAACAAAAGTTTCAAAAGTTTTTTGTTTATTAATTCGTATAACGCTACACGTTATACAAGAAACATTAAAATAAATGTGATTGTTAGATCGATTTAGTAATCATTCAAGTTTCTTACCAAAACTCATTATCAACTCTGATATTTCGTTTACAATTAAAAAATAAACAATAACATCAAACAAAAATCTTTGTGCACTTAATCCTTCCATATGCAAATCATGTGTGTCATGCATGTTTTTTTTTTTTTTTTTTTACAAGTACTACCATTATCCATTGAAAATACATTCAATCGCTATCAATTTATGAAACATTAAAATATATTGATACAAAATTTCATTAAAAAAATATAAAAATTTCATTAAAAAGGCTTTATCGCGTTTTCATTGTGCTCTTAATTATACCATAGGCGAAATGAATGAGTGGAATAAAAAGAGAGAACGAGAAAAGGAAATTAAATTAGACTTTTTGAAAACATCCTTTTCGTAATTGCTAGAATAGATGACCGAAATGATTGTATAACGCATTTCACGTAATCATTGGATTGCTTGTCATCTCCTGTCCATTCGAATTAGTAAGAATAAGTTTATCCTTATACTTCAAACAAATCATGAAAGGCATTCGACATACCGAGTTTCTCGTCTCTAGAAGTATTGTTGTATTGAATACAAATTGATAATGATGTTATATTGCGATGTAACGTATACATCAAATATATATAAAGCATGCACTAGATCAATCAATATACAATATTCGTAAACTTTATTCCCATTCCTGACAAAGTAAAAATATAGTGTTTAAAAAAATATTGGTTTGTGATAGAAACTATATGCATCTTATGTCTTTCAAGAATTTCTTTTATACTGTGTTTACAGCATAACACACGGCTCTTTTAATGATATGTCGAAAAGTAAATACTGTAAATAGATACTGTGGATTCATGATGAATAATATTTTATGTATTATTATTGAACAAGTGTTTTTAAAATAAAAATTTTCATCAAACTATTGGATAGATGAGAAGAAATCAAATGATATAATAATGTGGCTCCAGACTTAACAATTTCTAGCAATTAGATGTTTTTTATACTTTATAATATAGTTACATAATTACCAATTTAATTAATTAATTAATTAATTAATTGTTTTTTATGTAATATTATATACAGTACATATTTTTTTTTATACATTCAAAATGTCCTGAACAAAAATCACGAAAAAAAAAATACATTTCCAAATGCTTTTTGAATTCAACGAAATCATCTAAACACAAAAATAACCCATTCAAAATCAATTGTTATTTGAATTCGTTGAATGGGTATTTATTTATACGGTCATAACAATTGCATAAATTTTTAATATAATTAAATATACATCATTGGAAATTATATATAACTTAATATGATAATAAAAATATGTGTGAAAATAAAATGAATTACTAAAAATACAAATACATCAATTTTTTTTAAAAATAAACAATTAGTTTTTTTGTATATACATGAATATGATTAATTTGATTTTTATTTATAATTTCTTTTACCTACTTACTGTATATACCATATTTACCATATAATGTTAATAGTAACACTAGTCGAAATGGATTTATTCGGCATTATGCCACTCATCAATCATTCGTCAAAAAAGTATATAATTCAGCTAATCAAAATTATATAACTTTTATCTTCGGCTAT